TACACACACGGTACCCTGAAATCACTTTTTCTTCTACAGCTGAAGAGCAAGGACTGAGGAATTAAAAAATGAAGATGATATGTCAAACTGAAGTAGGAATTAGGAATCTGAGTTTTTGTCTTCAGCACCTTCAGTACCCTGCACCCTGAGGTTTGAGTATTGCAGCTGCCTAAAATTTTTCCTCTGCTGAGGCTCAGCAGCCCATAGGTCTGCAGGGTGCAGTTGAAAGCCTGATCAAGTTCTAGAGATTAACTTTTTTGCTTTGTCTTTTGCAGCTATTCTCCCATAGCATCTGAAAAAAAAATTGTTCAAATGGGGTCCACTTCTAAAACACAGTTGAAAGAAAGAGAGCAAATGGTAGTTTCCCCCTTTTTTATAGAAAAAGCTAATTGCTGAGAGGTGGGAGAGAAGTTTGCATCCTCTGCCTAACGGAATTCAAGTCTTCATATTCCATTTCCTCACATCAAGCCTAAAAGCCAAGGCTACTAGATTAATGTTTGCCATGGCATCTCAGGAAATTTTACTGCATGCCCTGCCTAACTTGACTGGGCTCCTCAGCTGGAAAAGCGCTTCAGGCTTCATCTCCGCTGGGCTAACCAGGTGATGCCCACTGATTTCGTGGCTAGGAACCGTGAAGGCTCTTTGATTCAATCCTGGGGAGTTCAGTGAGAAACCTGGGATATCCCAGGACGCTGGGAGGCATTGTGTATCTGGGGCTGCTGTGAATAACAGGCACCGAGTTCAAAGTCTGGGTCCAGACTGCTGCCAGCTGTTTGTGCAGCTCTGCTGAAGACTGTTCCACAACGTTAATGTGGCCATGCCGCCTGCTGAAAGTCTCTACAAAAAATGCAGAAAATTCAAGATTCTCTGGGTCAGATGGAGGGGAAAGAATATAGTGTAGTAACCTACTAGTTTGGGCAGACAATGCAGAACAGCAGGTCTGGCATGCCAGGAGCTTCTCCAGGAACAGCTGATGCTTTTGTCTAATGAGTTTTTCATGTAAAATGCATGAACAAAAGAGACTGGAATCCACATTTCAATTAATATTTTAAGTGTTTTATATCAAGTATTCATAGCAGAAAGGATTGAAGCTCATGTGTGTTCTTGCCCCTGATGAGTGCCCTAACCACTCAGCAAGGGAGTTTTGCTCATACCCATCCTCCTTCTGAGTACTTAATTAGTCCATACAGAGTGAAAAGTCTTCAAGACAGAAGAGATTGAAAGAAGCAATCTGAGAACACCCTGGAGAAGAATAACAAGGACTCAGGTCTCTCTAGGCAGTGGAGCTACTTGAACCCAAGTCAATTTACACAGCAACCATCTTCAGACAAAGATTAAAAGAAGCTGGGAGAACAATGGACAGCCAAGGTGGAAAGAGGGAGCACCACCATCCTCACATAGGAGAAAAACTGCTTCTTATCTAAGCACATTCAACTGGCAAATTTCAGCAATTTTCTGCATAATTCTCTGCATTGCAAAGGGGGACTGGAGGCCAAAGTACAGGGCTGACACTTTTATTAGACCCAGTGTGCTTCAGCACAGGGATGAAAAGTGTGAAATGATGCAGAAATCCCAACCTTTCAGTGCTGTAAAAATGCAACACAGAATTTCACCCCACCAGCAGTCACCTCCAGATCATTTAAAATATGATAATGACCTCCTCAGTCCCCACTCTCCAAGGTGTTTGATGCTCAGCTCTCACTGAAGTCAGTGAGACTTAGGCTCAGTGGCCAGGACTACAGTCAGTTTTACTTCAGTGGTTAAACTAGAGCGGACCTTTAGTATTTCCGTTGCAAGAAGGCAATACAAAAGTGCACCCTTAAGAACAATGAGAAGACACAGACCTTCCTCTGCCAGAGAACAGGGCAGATCAAGTTTAAAGAAAGCTAAATCCCCACTGTTTCCCTTCCTCGCGTACACAGGCACAATATGCTTTGTAAAAGGCATACACTTCTGTTTGTTTTGTGTGGTTTCCTCAGGCAGTGAATTATCTAAGACTGAGTCCGAGATTGGCTGTTTAGTTTCAGGCTTTATGATAAGCTTTTAATTATAGCCCAGGAGTTTCATTACATGTTACTCCGAGCCAGCTGGAAGCAGTTACACTTCAGTCCTCCTCCCCCTCCCTCCTTACCACAGGATGTCATTTCCAAGGCCTTACCCTTCTTGTCTTGATGATTATGGGATGAAACTGCCACATATGGATCTGTGTTTTCTGATGAACCAAGCGGATCCTTCCAATCCAGCATGCGTCCCCTAGCATCATAACCCTGTCGAGCGCGAGAGTCGGAAGTGGTGGTGCTTGGGACTAGGGAACTGGAGTGTCCTGTTTACATTATAAATACAGGTAGGGAAGACAAGTCTCGTTAGTCACTTACCACGCTACCTCTCCATGCTCAGGAACACACGCCCTGCTTTGCTTCTTTGACAGGTGAACGTCTTGTCTCAGGCTGAGCAATGTTTCAAAAGCCCTTCAAAGCATGGCCTCAAAGGAACAGGGGAACTGAACTTTCCACATCAGGGTGTTAAGAGCTGTGCTGCTGCTGATCTGGCGGGTGTGTGCTTCCACTCAGCAGAATTAAATGTGTGTGGAAGAGGGCGAGTGCACTTCATCTGAGTCAAGCATCCTTCGTCTGGATTCAGTATACACACCTGACTGACAGTGGTTGGCCCATGCAGTCTGGTACTGGCTTAGTTAAAAGCAGTTTTAGAAACAATGTAAAATGTAATAACTTCCACTACAGCCAAAACTGAAGGGCAATGCCCAAATGGCCACATCAGTGGCTTTCTGCCCCACAACCCCAGGGGAATGAAGGACTTCCCAGCACCGGTGCGCTCACACTGTGGCATCACCCTCTCGACAGTGAAAGTGCAGGACCTGTGTCAGTCAGCTGCTCACACCCACTTGCACACAGTCCTGTCTGAGCTGATGGTCCAAAATGGCTCTGAGATAAGCGTGAAACCAAACATAATTTCTGCTCAGAGTGACAGTGAAGACAATGCCTTACTACGTGGACCTATCCAAGAATCTGTAACTCTAGCAGCTGCTGGACCAAGGTCCTGCATGCCTTTTTTCCATTACAAGTACTCCTGACATTTTTAATCTTGTCCTGAATAAGGCTGATGAGCTCCTTGCTTGTCAAACACACCCCAACAAAAAGCACAGTCACAGGACATGCCCTGCTGGAAACACTTCACAATTTTAACAATAGTTTGGTCTGGGGCAGAAACATGTTTGTAGACTCACACATCCTTCGCAGCTCGATCCTGAGATGTATGCCAGCACCCAACATGCTTGGGAGTGCTTGGAGTCAACACACTCTCTCTGAAAGATGGCTCCAAACTGGACTTCCCAGTGGCTCAGGCTGCTCCACTGCTGCTGGGGAGTGGGCACCAAAACTCCATCCATACTATAATATTGTGATTGCAAAATCACAAGCATCTCAGAAAGTTCCCTTTTGGCATGTGCACCAACATGAATTCTTTTCAGCAGGCCACAGAGAGCTGTAGACC